AACGGGGTCAAATAGGAAAAATATCGGCGAGCGAAGCGAGCGCAGCGGTAGTCTGTGGAGGGAAAAGTGGCCAGACTATCTCTCGGCTCGCTTCCGACTCGCCGATTTTTGTTTTCCTTTTTCCCCCAATGCGAAGCATGGTCCCAGGCTATTGCTCTTCTTAGTATACAGGTGCCAATTGGTGCACTTTCTTTCTTTCTCACTTTCTTCCTTTTCCCCTTTCATTTTCTTTAAAAAAATGCAAATAGAGATTTTTTCGCAACGAGGACAACTGCACAACTCTACGACTTTAAATGTCCTTAATAACAAACTTGAAACATAGCGAAGACTTTAAAGTCTTACAAACTTCTATCACGTTTTCCTTTCCAAGCGCTTCTCCTTTTTTGTACATCTTCAAATGCAATTGTTTCAATAATGCCAGAGATTTTCACTTCTATTTCCGTCTTTTTCAAGTTTGTGAATATCTCATACTTGATAGGCGACAACCATTTCCGGCAGTCTTCGGAAATCTTTGGTAGTCTTCAGAAATCGTCGAAATTATCGGGATTTGTTGGAAAATGGCCGAAAACGCCTCGATATTCGAAACAAAATTCATTTATTGGCCTCAGTTGCCGAAGATGTCTACACGCGTTAGCTGTTTCGAAAACCTTTGTTTTGAAAGATCTTCATTTTCAAAAGACTTAACTTGATAGAGTGTTTATGAAAAACCTCCGTTCACTCAAAGGCGGTTTTCAACTTTCTAGTGTGGACGGAACATTGTTCTGTGGGAAGTATTGGTTGGCAAAGTTTGGGAAGTGCGACCAACATAAATTTGTAACAATCTTACGCTTGCTTGAATATATCCTTCCCCTTGTACTTTATCAGTGTACTGAATTTTCAGATGCCGAAAGTATTTTTTTGTAATTTTCGCGTTTTATTTCAGGAGTTATTTTCCTTTCTGGGATGGTAAAGTATGCCTAGAAAGTCTTCCAGTATACAGTCTGTCGCCTATCAATATGATTGAGAGTGGTACTGTAAAGAAGATAACTGGATGGACATTTGTCAGTGGAGATAAGCCCATAAGGGTATGTTTGTGTTGTATTGTATTTTATTATATCAGTATACATACTAAGATATACTCACTGAAAAGCTATGTCATAAATTTCTATACGCCAATGAGTTCTTACCAATCAGAATCGCGATCTATGTTTTTTTTTACATGTGAGAAAAATGATACTTCCAATGAAACGCCACAGCGATGCACGAGTTTCGTTCCAAGTTTCCCGCCTTTGTATGGGCTTGCAGCACGTTTTGCAGTAACGTAAGACGTTCTCAGCTTTGTGTGTTTAAGATGCTTCCCTCTAATCTATGTAGCTAGCCAAAACGTTTTGTTTGTACACGTCTAAACTCGTTCTCGAGTTTTTCAGCCTTGATTTGTTTAGTTGTACACGGGAGGACAAGCGCAGTCGTTCCCTAGGCCCTATTGTCTGGTCAAAACTCAATAAGCACATATAATTCTCTGGGTCTGTTGACATTCTCGAAAAGCGCAGGGAATCTGTAGTTTTCTCCCGTCTCTTTTAAAACGCTTTTAAAGACTACTATCTCCATGGAAGGTATATATATTACCTTTTACGTACGATAACTAATTGCAGATATGCATAAATCGTGACTTGGTTCAATTTTTTTTTAATTGTAAACACATAGGTTATTTAAAATGTAGATAGATTACCAACAGCCATATGGCATTAGACTCCACTTATTATTTCAAATTGTGACTTGATAGGATTAGATGGGTGTCCCCAGTTAACACACAGTTGTGTAATTATGTGTAATTTTACTTGAATCGTGAAACAGATACAACTAGAGACCTTTAGATTCAAAAACGAGGACGAGTACGAGATTTGACTTGAAGGTTTTTCGCGAATTCTCAAAATATAGACTCCTCGGAAAGCTTCATTTTACCATTTTTCACTGCAAGAGTTAACACTCTTACCTTTAGTGAAGGAGATTACACCCTCTCCCGATCGCAAAATGATAAAACTTCTTTCATTTGATGACTTGTCTCCACCACTACAACATTCCCGCTAAAACTCGTAGTACAGTGAAGACGGCTACCACGTTTTCCCGCCAAAATGACGCTGGTTCACGCATGAGCAATACTCAGTATTGAGAAAATCTCGTACTCGTTGTCGTACTTGTCTTAGAATCTAAAGCTCTCTACTAAGTAATAGTGCAAAATGGCGAGAGGTAAACAAAAGAAGACAATGGATTTAGTGAATAATAGTGCGTAGAAGAGATCCTTCACATAACTCCAACACCATATGCAAAGGAGTCACAATAGTAGAAAGATCCACAAAATATATAAATGATCTTTTCGAAGCATGGGTGAGCTTTTTGCTTTCTTTGTCTGTTAATCCCTATGCGGCCACGCGGCATCTATGGGGCAGTGAAGCGGGGCTTTAAAAGATACGTTAAGCAGACGGAAAAATGCACTTCTTTTTTGCAAACGCTTCAAGATGCCGACATTTTCCCAATCCCCCCCCGCCCCTTTTTTTTTGAAAACTCAACGGCATCTATACGTAGTCATTATTTTTAAGACTGAAGGATCGAAAGAATTCAATTTTTGGAAAGACTTTTATTTTGCTTTATCTGCAAAATACTTGTTACTGAGACATGCAACTCACGTGTGTTTCCATATACCAATATCGGTCATCATACATCATCAAACACTGACCGGCTGGAAATTTTTCTGTGAGGAACGAAAGCATCAGGGCATACTATCGTTCTACCCCAAGAGAATCATCGATAAAATAAATTACACGAATTGTTTCCCAAAACCTCCAAAAAGCTAAACAGCTGATTGCCACGACAAGTACAAGCAAGACGGCGATGTCACAGACTATTGTGGGTAACAGGATGCGATACGGAAAATCTCTCCTCTAAATCTCAGTTTGACCCAACTAGAAAACACACACAACCATAGGGTGCGGCTCGCTTCAAGCCAAGCGCTCGGTTTAGGCTCCGAAAAGACTAAAGGACACATGACATATCAAAGAAAAGTAATATACAATCCAAGTAACATTCAGCTCCAAAGAACTAAATCACAAACTAACTGAAATGGGGTCGTGGAACAACAGCTGGGTGAAAAACCTCCCCGTACGTCCACCTGCACCTAGAAGGAAAGCCCCAGGCCAGCTGTACCCCATAAACAACGGTCCCCCGGGCAAGACCAACTAAATAGAAACTAGAATAAATTAAAAAACGGTACGAATGAGAAAACTAAATACCTAAAGCCTTAGAAACCGACAAACGTGAAGATAAAGAATCTTGACGATACCCGTCCTTAGCCGATTCACTAGCCCAGCGGCCATGACGCTTAAAAAGTCGGTCTGGTACGCCAGCATTTGCGGCAGCAGTAGCCCCGCCACTCCTAAGGCTATGCGTACCAATGGCAGAAAAATCAGGTACAATATCTTTAAAAGCCTGCAGCACTAATTCTTTTAACCGTGAATAGCTTAAACCTTTAGATCTAGGCTTATAACATATATGGCATTTAGTTTTGGAAAGCTGGCAAAACAAAGGGCTATCGCAGGAAAGCCCAGCTCTTTCTAATAATAATGGAACAGCAAGACCGAGATGAAAGACAAAATCAGTACGCCCAAATATATACCCCCGCTAATTACCCACATACCAGAGCACATACCTAAACAAACATAAGATAGCGATGAGAGCATATTTTCCTGTTAATTACCAAGTCACACGCAGGAAAATACTAAAGTTACAAAAAGAGAGAAAGTCCGGCACCGATGCCGATGCTGATCTCCCAGGGGAAGCCAACCTTGCACCGCCTGAGCCAAAACAGGACAAAGCCAAGAAAAAGTGCTCCAGAAAGCGACAGCGGCATCCTAGATAAATTCGATCGCGACAATAGCGACGAGGACTAAACATGCGAAATATTGAACTGTCACTTTCCTTTTGTTCATTTTTTCAGTTTATAGTATTTTTTCAGCTGAATGATTTTTGCCACACAATTCGTCTTTTATTTGATGGTTCTATTCGTGCGTGCCGCAAATAAAGGAAAAGACACCCGCATATTTTACATATTTAGTACACTTTTGCATTATAGTGGCTCTAGTTGGAGTTATGTCAAAGATCTCTCGTATTGTACTATCTATTTTAAGGGTTTAGTAAAATCACTCTAAAGGTCTCCATATCGCGAACGTTCTTCTTCTTCTGTTCTTATTTATATGCTTTTTACATAATATTATTTAATTGTTGTGAGAAATGTAGTAATTTCTCCATTGAGAGTCGATAAATCTTTCTTTTTGTAAAATCATCAAAGCCAGCGGTAATGTATTCACCGACTTTGTCCCTGAGGGGCTTGCTGAGATTGCATTTTTTGCCAATGGCAAAGCAATATCCTGGTAATCGAGATAACAGTGCAGAAAACGTAGCCACTTTCGCACAGAATAAGTCATAAAACGTCGCGTCTGCTATCGTTGTCCTTCTCATAGCTTACCATAATGGAGACTAAATTGGAAACTGAGGCGTTTCGATCTCTTTCGAACGAAGAAGAGCTTCAGAGAGCCAAGTGGTATAAAGAAGACTTAGAGAAAGGCGATGGATGGACTGAGGCGGCCACGGGTCCCGGTTATACCTACTGGATTAAGACAATAGACGCTGACGAAGTTCCCATTAAGATAGTTTACACTGTTGACATGCCCTTCCCCGCTGCGGTTTTTATAAAGTTGTTGGATCCCCAGAATCTAGCAGCTCGTAATGATTGGGACAAAGCTTTCGTCGACCATGAGATTGTAGAAGCCTACCCTAACAATGGCGGATATGTGACGTACATGCGAGCAGTTTTATCTTGCCCATTGGTAGATCGATCGTTCGTTTTGTATCTTCCACCAAGTACAGAGGTCGACTGGTATGGAAAACGTGCACATTTTTTGTTGATCAAACACGCATGGCACCCAGAAAAGCCCGAAGGCGAAGATGGCCTAGTACGAGCGACAAATGGTGGCAACTTCTACGTGGTGATGCCAGATGAGGAGCGACCAGAAGGTGCATGCAGAGTGTTCGGATTAACCAACAACCTCTACAATGGGTGGATTCCTAAAAGTAACATGGAATGGATGCAGAGGAGAGTTGTACCCAAAAAATTCAACGAGTGGCGAGAAAATATGGTGGAGGGTTATAAAAAGTATTTTAATAATTGATGCAATTTCTGGTGACTTTTTTTTAAAAATTCGTTTAAAAAGTGCCCGTGTCCGTTGATGAAAAGTAACCTTATGCCCCATTCACACCAACTAAACATGTTTAATTAAACCAGGTTTAAAAAAATGAAAAACAGACATGGAAAACTGGAACACGGGGTTTCACACAGGATTCAAATGAAATTCAACATGTTTTGTAATTTGAATTAAATTTACAATCAATTTAAGTTAGTTAGCAGCTTTTATGAGGGAAAGAAAATTCAAACCGTGTTTAACTAAACAGCTTTTAAACATGTTTAAGCTTCGGTGTGAATGGGACTTTAGATACATGAAACTACATATTTAAAACAAAAAAAGGCTATATTACCGCTCGGTAATAAGTGAAAATTCGTGTATATTCTTAAATGAAAATAAATGAATAAATAAATAAAAGAGTTTGTTTGATTACACTTGTTTTATCTCAGTACTGTTTATTTTGATGTTATTTTGTCTTCCTTGTTATTTTTTTCGTTCGTTTTTTTTTTTCGTTAATAATAATGTGTGAGAAAACCCGCAAGTTTGTAAAATGTTCATTCAAATTATAAAGATATTTTAGGCGGATCGGCTTTTCCTTTGAAAGGGTCCAGCAAAGTGCTTGATTTTCTCTTAATCTGAAGTTTTGTTAAGAGTTCTGAGTTCCGAGGCCTTCTTAAAAAATAATGACCGAGCGCCCATATCCGCACCTTTCCATGGTTTTAGAACCAGCAGGTCATTATTGTGGCCACTGAAATGGGGTAGTAGGTTTTGTTGTCAAAACAACCGGGCAAATTATTCAGAGAAAACAGAACCTTGAATACCTCGCAGCTGTGTAAGTGTTGGAACATTGCAGGATTATGATCAGAATAATTTGCCTGGTTGTTTTAACTACAAAGCCGACGTAGCTAATTTCACTTCCCACGTTCACCAAACTAGGTTGAATAACACAACAATTATTGCATGCAACAATAACTATAACCAATTATGTTTTCTGGATTCTTTGTTAATTAAGAGGTACATACCTCAAGCTGCCAAAGAGCTTGTATTGTTTTAGCTTTAGATTTTATTTTTAATTTCAGCATTTTTGTTGTACTTTCCTCCACATTCTTGACACAATTATTAGTTTGTTATTATTCAGTCACATCTTTCTGGCTAGCTCTCTTTATAGGTGGTTTTCATGCAATTTCGGGAGACACAAATAACAATGGTGAAATGAACAAATGCTGGTGGACAAACAAAACGAGCTAATGAGCAATCTTGTTTACCGTCCACCAGCATGGCGGCGATGACGTAACGTGAAAACCACCTATAAGTTCACTCACCGCTTTTTCGATCTTGTATTTCACGTTTGACAATGGTCTTGAAATGAGAACCGAAACGTTTATTTATTTTTTGTCCAATCTTGCTTATACTACATTTTAAGTCAGCAAGATGTTTTTCGGAGTTTTTTTTGTATTATAAGAACTTATGTCTGACGTTCGTTTTTCCTTGTTTGTTTGTTTGTTTGTTTGGTTTTTTGCTTTGTCATATCAGCCCTCTATTTGTAAAATGTTCATTAAAATCATAAGATATTTTAGCCGGATCAGCTTTTGCTTTTCGCTTTGAAAGCGTCCGGCAAAGTGCTCACTGGTTTTCTTTTATTCAAAGATGGTGTTAATAAGAGCTTAAGTCTGATGCTTTTTTTTCCTTGGGTTTTTGCTTTGTCATATCGGTTTTTTTCTTTGTTATGGTGAGCAGGTGATGAAGTTTATTTCTACACTGGTTAACTTTACATTTATTCTTAGCTGTCAGGGTCTGGATCGATTTTGTTAAAGCGTTTTGTCTTTTGTCTTTTAGACAATTGATTAGTCCCTTCGTTCTGTTCAGTTTCAGCCGTTAAATGTCCGCCGTTGGACATTCGACATCCACCTGTTACCTCACCTATCTGGGTTCCCCCACCTCCATGTAAACAGGCCTCAAGTCTTCCTTCCATCTCGTCCTTGGTCTTCCTCGGTTCCTTGTGCCCCCGGGGCGTCCAGTACGTCAGTAATGCGGGATGTCCGACCGGTCCCTTCGTTAACGGGTCTTTTCGTTAACAATAGTTTTTTTTTAGGGGGGGGAGGGGGGAGGGGTCTGAGTAAATCTCAGCAGAAGCCTCTTCTTATAAACACTAGTTAGCTTAAATTTTTCTTTCAAATAAATTGATATATCAAGTGGTAATAAATCAGTTCTGTTTTCTTCCTTAGCTGGTTTATCGTCGCTCATTTTACATTCTTATTTATTTGTTTAAGATTGCTCAAATCATGTCCAAGGAAGCACATCACTTGTTGAAAGTCAAACTCCCAGGTATTCCACTGAATATCTCCAGTCACCGGGACCGGGACAGCCGACGTGAAGGAACAGGACAGGGGTTAATGTAAGGCCAGATAGTTAACTCTTTAAGCCCTAAGATTGATCAGAACCAAAAAGAGTAAAAACAGCCCATGTAAGGAGTAAAAATAGCCCCATTGTCGGAGTTATTTTAACTCCAGACTGGGAGTAAAAAGAACTCTTTTTCAGGAGTAAAAATGACCCCAAATTTGGAGGTAAATTAGGAGTTAAAGTAACCCCCAAAAAGGGGTTATCCTGTACCTAAACTTTTTACGCCATTTTTGGAGTTATAATGACTCCCTAAAAATTACAGGGTATGCTGGGTACCCTGGGTTTCACAAGTTCAGGGCACGGGGATCCCATCAATTTTCCTTAGAGCACAGCCTTGAAGTGCTATGAGGTTGTCAGCTTTTTACAAAATGAAGTGCGGAGTTTTTCTTGAATTGTTATTTGGTTGCTCCTGGAAGTGATAGGGTTAACAGGGAAACTTCAAAAATCAATGAGAAAAAAGAATACAAAGAACACATCAGGCTGTTTTATAAGCGCTCGAAATAACTACACTGTTTGTGACTCCCAGCTGAAAATTTCCTGGAATTTTGGATCAAAATGTTAATTATAATTTCAATATCATAGGTGACGAATTACTCCTTAATTTTGGTGCGAAATTTCAACGTTAATTTGTAATTTCACATGTGAAATTACAAAATTACCATGGGAAACCTTCCGTACGTCTCAGTGTCAAGATGGCGACGAAGTTTTAAAATGCCGTGAATGAAGATGTCAGGGCACAAAAAGACGCTTTAGAAAACCTGAACACACAAGAGAACATTAAGAAGGATTCTAACAAGTATTTTGCCGAAATAGTCTGAAAAATTCTGAACTTTATAGGCCAAATTTAATATATAAGGTTTAAACATTCGAGAGAGTGGAATTCTCGATCGATACGATTCAGGATAAACATGTCAAAAATCCAAGATTGCTAACGTAATTCGTCACCCATGATATTAATAGGTAATCAAAGGGTACACTCGTGAAATTAGGGAATAATTTCTCTTGCGTTTTGTCCAAATCCTAATAATTTTCTGAGCCTTTTCACTCGTCACCATTTGATTACACATACTAATTATCTCTTCCACAAGTATTGTTAACTACATTGTCAATTAGGCGTGTTCTTTTAATTTTCATTTAGGCTTCTTGCAGAAACGTCCACTGGCGTTGTGCTATCAGGGACTGCGTTGTGGAAAAGAGGCAAGTTACTCAGAGTTGCAGATTCCGCAGGAACCTTTCAGATTAACTATGAAATTTTCCACGTATATACTTGCATTCCCCGTAGGATTATTTGTTCTTTACTTCTGGACTGTAGGTTAATTTGACAGAGAACTCGATATTTATAGTCCGAGGATTTAGACTGCCAGCTACGCAGGCTTCTAACGTTGGATGTTATTGATATTAGGTATGAGTCCTGATGAGGTGGTAAATGCGGCAGTGAGGATGCTTCTCTTCAACGTGAACAGTGGATCATGTGTTGACGACATGTTACAGGATCAGGTGTGAAATAATCGCACTCATATAGATATTAGGGGCAGTGTCCTAGCCTATCCACTGACGTATTATTTTATTAATTTTTTTCCGACGAATTTAGCGAGTGCAGAGCGCGAGAACGAGCTCTAATCCCTTGCGCTAGAGGCCAGTAAAGCCCGGCCCCTGCCGGTTGTAATTTTCTTTTTCGTACGCACGATCGACACTCTCTAAAGAGAAAATGAAGGGTCTATTACCAGGCTAGCAGTGTCCCAAACTACTCATAAGATACCCACGTCAAGGTTTGCTTTCCAAAACTCTAAGTTGGGCTGGAAACCTCTTTCCAATTTGCTAAGACCCTTACTTACATTTGAAAGCCTTTTACTGTGAAAAAATTAACATTGTAATCTCGACCAGGCGAGGTTTTTAATACTTACAACGAAGGTATCACCACGCCATATTTTTCTTGAAACCTACTTGTAATAATTCAAAGAGTGGATAGACGGCAAATTGTTGTTGCTAGAAATATCATTACGGTTCCCCTTTGTTCGTTAAGTGCTATTTGTACTTCAGCGACCTTTTTAGAGGCTGTTGCGCAACTGTACAAGCGGTGTATTAGGAGATCAAAATTTAGTACAAGTTTTAGTCTGAATACGAGTGACATTTCAGACCAACGTTTTAGTGAGTAATTAGGGGTTTAATACAGGCGGTTTTTTTTTGTCTTCAGGCCATTCTATTCATGTCGCTGGCAAGTGGAAAGTCATCTTTGAGAGTATCCCACCTCAACAACCGATCAAAAGCTGTGATTAAAGCAATCGAAACCTTCACTGAGGTAATAGAATATACTCTGGAACGTGATACAAGAGAACTCTGTCTCCCTAGGAGTCCTGTGGCCAAGCTTACGCGAACGCAGTATTAATCACCATCTACTGGAAATCTTAGTTTCGTTGGCTGCAGAATGTCAAGTCCTGGCTAGACTATCAAACCGTTTTTTTTTTTCTCATTGCAAAAATAGTTGCATTACATAAAACACAGAAAAAAGGCAGAGAAAAAGATAAGAATGACAATAATAACTGAGGCCACTACAGTCGAACCTCCAAGCCCACCTCTCTACAACGACCACTTTTTTGGCAGACAGTCCCTACATTGACTCTTGTTTAAACCTCTCTACAACGGCCACCTTCTTCAGTCCCATTTTTCTGTTCTTTAAGACCCGTTTTGTATTCAGGTGCTCTGCCGACCTGGCAAGGAGATATTAGACGACAGTTTTTGATCGTTACCGGGAATTAAGCGATATTCTTGTTTGGCGACAAGTCATGAAAGTTTGCAAGAGGGCATAATCATTTATTAGCAAATCTTGGTAATGTTTAATCTTTAACCATCCCACTTCCCATTAAAACATATCACTTCCGTGTCCACTACACCATCAAGGTCCAACTGCCGACACTGGTTATTTCTAACGTACTTTGAATGGTACCCGTATTAAAACAGTGCTTAGACCTAATCACTGAACTTTGAATAAATAGTTATCTACAATAATTAGATAAATGCTTACTCCTTACCTTGGTAATCAAACTTGAAAGAATAAATTCTGGTCTCAAAGTCTCAGATTATAGTTCTGTAGCTTTCGACTGTATCGCACAGTCTTCATCAGCAATAAACATCCAGGAGGCCATCCATATCAGACGCCAGGGTCCAACCCTAAACAGCTATGAGGGTTATGAACTTCCCGCGATTTTTAATCATTTGTTGGCACGTGATTAATTCATGTGACAAACAGTTTTTATTGCTGATGAAGACTGTGCAATACAATCGAACTGAGACTCTGAGACTGGAATTTTTTTCCAAGTTATCTACTATGATTATTGCCTTGTGTAATAACCATTAGGTGTCCAGTCTCGTCCAGTCCAACACGAGTTTACCTTCCTATATGCTAAATTTCCCATATTGCTGCATTCTTATTTTCACAGGTCAAAGTTAATGTTTCACCGGCGGAAGTAGGGAAGGGAACAAAGACGAGACGAAACATTTTGATTGAATGTGAAGGCCAAGGGCTTGTTAACGAGGACGTCCTTCCGCCCGAAGACAGCCTCGAAAGAGTAGATACAACGGTGTGAAGTATCCTTGAAAAGAGACCGCCAATAGTTGGGGTGTCATTCTCGGTCTAAACCAGAAGGAGCCCCTTGTATAAAGCGTTTTCACTCAGTTGGCCAGCATCTATGCAAATTCGTGGGAACAAAAGAAATTGCTTACATACGAAAGGAGTTCAACTACCACAGGATTTGTTTGGAACACCAACATCGCCGCCGCTTTATTGTTTTGGAACACCAATATGGCCGCCGTGACGTCACGTGAAAACGCTCCATTGAGCTATCGGTCGTGCCACTGAAGGGTCATTGGTTGACCCTTCAGTCATTCCGCAATAACAATGCTATGCTGAGATACCTTTATGGGAGGTCCGGGTATGTCACTCAATTTACAAATTGGTCGACTCGGGTTCTGAAATCTTTGCGACATGCGAAGAACTGAAAAACAGGTTGTTCACATCTCATTACTTAAAACATTATTGTTATTCATGGAATGTCGTTCGCGTTTGCGAGATTGTCCGAGAAATATCGATGTCCGAGTGTTCATTTGGTATTTCAAGTCACTGAGGGGCTTGCAGTTCCAGTTCTTGTTGTGATTTGAAGCATTTACTGAGGCCCTTGAATCTTTTTGCAAGATTTCTCACCGGGCCATGTTAAAAGAACATGTGCCGGGTTTTATGGTGTTTAATTCGCTGCTCCTTAAGGGGACGTATTTTTGTTTGATTTTTTGGATAAGTAAAGAGAGTAGAACGGAAAACTGGGATAAACTGCAAAAATAATAACAATAATAATAATAATACTTAGATTTTAAAGATAAATTTTAATAATACATATATGTTAGCTAAATCGCTGTGTATTGTGGAGAGCTAAAAACATGTGGTGCCATTATTTCCCATTGAACCAATTTATATTTCCAACCAAAGCCGCAATCATGTAGTCGCTGGCTCGATTGAGTTTTCCGGCACGAAGCCAGCTTCATATGTTTCCTCCGAGTTCCACTCGTGCTTAGACTAGCTAAAATAACTACTACGGTATTGATTTCTCGGTAGTTAATAGAATATGTCTGCTGTTGAAGCTTTGAGAGTCCTTGCATGTCATATCTTTCTACTTCGGCGATGTCCTTTCGCTGACGACTAACTAGTGGTACCTTTTTCCATACTGTTGTTCGAGGTCGAGGGAAGTGAAAGAAGTAATTGAATATGTCCACTGTTGATGCTTTGAGAGTACTTGCATGTCATATCTTTCTTCACCGATGTCTTTTCACTTAAGACTAATGAGTTGTGCTTTTTACCATGTCTGTTAGAGGTCGAGGAAGTCCCTGTATCGGATGTGACTTGCCAAAAGTATACGACTTTGTCAGTTGAATTAAACTTTAATATAGTCCGTGCCATTAAATTGCCAAATAAAACGCCGACACAAGGAAGTCGCTTAACTAATTAGTGTCCATTTCGACTGGTAATAAATTTTGTTTTCTTCAAGTAACGAGGTTGAAAACAAAAGATGCTGAGAGGTCATTAAAGATAAAATAAAGGATCTCTTTAATCTTTGAAGTGTTGTCCTCATCAATTTGATTGGTGACCTCTAGATTGGCAAGGTAGTGATATTAAATGAAGAAATGTGATGATGGTCATATGTGGAGGGTGTTAAATTCTCCGACGTTAAATGCTTAAGACGCAAACGATATCCGCTAAATCTTAAAGGACTGCATGATTTCAAGACCTTTGCTCACACGATCAAGGAAAGCCTATACTGAGTTACGTAAGTATTCATATTTTTTAATCCTATATGTCTAAACTAAGAATTTTTACTTTTCTCGTTTCCGTGCAGTCATAATTTTATCTCAGCTGTTAGGAAAATTTTTCACACCAGTTGATATTCTTCCTAGTTTCAATTTCTGTCCGTGACAGTACCTTGTCGAAGCTCGCCTTTTTCTCGCGGAAGCACCTCGATGGAATATAACTACGCTTCGAACAATCGCCTTCCGATCTAGATAAATACGCAACTTTAGGAGTCTCTGCGTGTTTTATCTATCGATTCCGTGATTCAAGTCCCTTTGTCTGTAGACATCGGTTGACAAAGACTATTAATACCATGCGCAGGTTGTGAAGAAGCCAATGTTTGTTTAAGTAAGTCAAACATCCATTCATGCGACTTGCAGTGGTTAAAATATTAATTTGTTTTCCCGAGAAGATGACTATCTAGTAATTGTACAGGCTTTTGTTTGTGGTAACCATGAACACCTTTAATATTTTCAGGTGCTCCTTATTTAGTGAAAGTTAGAAAGATTGAATAGCACTCCGCGAACAGGACCTTTTAGCTCTATTTTTGTGACCCTTTTGTGTAATTGAGACAATTAACGAGCGACATTAAAATGGGGAAGTAGAGAGATAAGTGGAAAACCGGAAACACCTGTTTGCACTTTGGAATCATCTTTGGTCTCAAATAAAGCCGCTTCCTCGACATCATCCTGAACGTCTCGATCGCCCAAGTCTCGGGCGATAGAGACGATCATATCAACATGTATATGAGAACACCTCTGATAAGGTGGTTCTATCCGAGTGACTCAAGGATGGGCCCAGTGGATACAACCGTAAATGACCGTTGTGTGGGCACAGGTTTCCACGTAGTCGTGCGGATCGTCTAATATCGAGACGACCCGGACGGGGCTAAACCTTTTGTAAAATCTAAATCGATTATGTTTTGAACTTTTTATCCTTCAGTTTCGACAAACAGAACTTTCGTTCGGAGGAACAATTTTTTGTCAGTACATTTTAAAAGATGCTACAAAGAAGTTTGGTTTTCTGCCTGGTAATTGTAGTTTTCAAAGGGCTGATGTTGGTTAAAGGTGAGCAATATTCGATCAGTAACCGTTTATACAGTAGGCCCCAGTTTTTCAAAAGGTCGCTAGTGCTATCCACCGGATAAATTTCTTCCCAGCGGATAACGCAATTGTTTCCCGTAATACTTATCCGCTGGATAGTGATTTGTCCGGTGGGTAGTGCTATCTAACGTTTGAACAACCTGGACTGGATAATCAATATAGCATAATATGTTATTGTGCTCCATTTCGCTCTGTCATACGCCATTTTGAAAAGTAAGCGTTATAACATAGTGGATTAATGCAAAGCACGGAAGTGAGGGTGAAAAAACTAGTAATACTTTTTATAAGGCTAAATCTGTGTCTAGGCAGGAGGAAGAGAATCATGCGTTCTGATTGGCCACCCGGACGGGCAAGAGGGTTCATCTTTCTCGCCCGAGATTTCTCGCTTTCGTTCGTCCTTTTTTTGTTTTATTCCAACCTAAACTTCGTCTTGCTCCACGCAAACGAGGAAGAAAAGAACTTCCCGTTTTCCAGCTCTCTTGACCTCACGCTTGGTCAATAACGCATTTAAATTTGCCCTAGAAGGACAGTGTTTTAGATGTACACTTTGACACCGTCAGCTTGGCTCTCAAGTTTTGGGTTCAACGTTACATTGCAAAGGCTGGTTAAATACAATCCTTCTTCCCCGTTGCCTAGTCCCTAGGCGTCGTTATTCCGCGCGGCCAAAGCGTTTCGGGTCACGTCAAATCACGTCACCGAAGTGAATTGACCGAGAGGGACTGGGAAAACGCCGTACATGGATTAGGCAATCTCCTCGGCACGTTGCTGAATTGTTTTATTTTTGTATTTGCTCGTTGCTTCTAGACATTCGGCTGAAAAATAGGCAGGATTACTAAACGCAAGCCTCTCTAAGAGGGGTCATTCACAGTACTTCGTTCCTCATCTTAAAGTAGCGGGCGCTATAGCCGCGAATTTCAAGTTTAGGGAGATAGTTTTCCTTTTCGGGAAAGGTACCACAAAAAAGTGGTCTTCTGCGGCAAGTTTCTAACTAAGTTATTTAGAAACGCTATTTCATGAGGATACCATTTTCGAGTGCTTAATCTCTTCATCGTTTCCTTTACATGTGTAGCCCGTCGTTGTTCCGAAATGCTGAAAGATAAGCCTTGTGTGGGTAGGTAAAATATCTTTTATTCATTTATTAATTTCCATTTCTATTTGAAAAAAAAAACCAAGGCACAGGACTCTGCTTGCAGGTTAGAACAAATAAAATAGCTATTGATGTCACAGTAAGGACGTTGCCGGTGGTAGCCGTGTGATAAAGTACAATCTCTCTCAAGGGAAGTATTTTATTTCAGTATTCTAAATTGCTTTGATGTTGTTATCAAACGAAAACGACGTTCAAACGACGTTCAAACGACGTTCGAGAAGAAGAGGGTCTCAATGGGGTTAACCGATAGGCGTAAAACGGCCAAAAATTTAGCCGATAGCCGTAAAAATTGAAATTTTTTAACCGTTAGCCGTAAATAGGGTAAGAAAGAGTTAACCGTAAAAGAAATCGTTCCCTAGATTTTTTAGTTTTAAGGAGGGTGCTAAACTCACTTATGGTTGCGTTTTTATTTCCCGGCTACTTTGACCTCGTACGCACGTCAGGCCAAGCGTCTAGCTTTTAGGTGTTGACCTAGGACCACCTAAACCTAGGCTCCATTTCCGCCGCCGCTCTCTCGGGAAACTAATTTTTTCTACAGCGAAAATCTGGCTTCTTGCGGGGGATTAATATTTGAGAATTTCAGGAGGTCGTGCCCTCGAGATACTAGCAACACACAGAGATGTCACTCTTTGTAAAACACGTCGACGATAAACAACAATTCCATTTAACAGTTCCCTGTTTTTCTCTGACGCTACGGCGTCTTCCCACGCAATCTCGGTCAAGGCATTTCGGTGGCGTATCTGAGAAAAAAAAAACTCGCTCGGACCACGTGACCCGAAACGCATCAGCCGCGCCGAAGAATGAGGCCTACGGACAAGGCAACGGCAGACAGTCGTTCTGTACAGTCCTTCGCTATCATTAAAAACACTTGACACAGGAATTGTTTTACATTGGCCGTTTTCACACTAGAGCTAGAAATGGATTATCCATCTGAGACTAGCCTGTGTACAGTCACCCCCTCCCTCACAGACACTCCTTCTCCCTTCCTTCTTCTGAGGGGAGGGGGCGGCTGTACACAGGCTGCCTGAAATGGATAATCCATCTTCAATCAAATTGTCCGTCAAAATTGACGGAGAAAGCCAGGCGGGTTGTTCTGATTCAAAACTAAAACCATTCAATTTTCAAATTAAGGCGTATTACCTATCTGACGCAAATTATCAAACGGATAACCCGTCTCACCCGAATAATCCGCCGCTAGTGTGAAAACGGCCAATTCTGTTATAAATGAATGTCGCGCACCGGCCTTGAGTTAAGCGTTTGCGTCAGTCTGCTTTTGCTTTTTCACAAAGATTATTTTTAAATTGACTATTGACATTTGTATGGGTAAAATAATATTAGAAGTGGAATACTTCATCAAAAGTATGATCTATCAAATGTTAAAATTTTTCAAAAGAATGGCTTATTTCATCCCGAGATGATCCTAAGACCTTTATTTTGCTTTAAAGATACAAAAAATACCGGTTTATTAATATTTAACTCCTTGAAACAAAAGAAATTAATTTTTAACTTCGTTGTTAACCGTAACTGGAAAAAATTAACCGATAGCCGTAAAAGAGCCAAAATTTTAGCCGATAACCGTAAAAGCTACCACCCCATTGAGATCCTCGAAGAAGTATCCCTTCGTAGACCATTAGTCCTGTTCCCCTTTGGTAGGAGCGTATTTCCTAACTTTGGCGAATAATGCTACAGAAACCGTGTTGGGTGACCTGTGCTAGCCGTGCATCGAATACTAAGAGTTCTAATATTAATACTTTCTGGCATTCTAGGGCTACTTATCTTTCTCATGTATTCCTTTACGAAAGCAACATACGTTTTCTGTGTCTAACTATCCAAACTGATGGTTTGTTTATGTATCTCAGTCCAAGGAAGACTCCCGTTGAAACTGCGGTGTGATCGTAAAACTGGAGAGTACTTTCAAATAAAGAACCTTTCTGCAGAGTACCTTCCAGGGATCTGGTCCAAGTTACCTGAAGCCCAGCCCCTTGCTTACGAGGAGTGTCGACTCAACCGTGGCCTTGACATCAATCTTGAGTACTCCTGTTCGGTGACTGCAAGAAGTCTGTGTCCTTATGCTGATCAAATGAGAAACGTTAAGATTGAATATTTCTGCTGGGAAGTTGGTAGGTAAAACCCCTCGGTTATTGTAGGCCTGGGTCATAGACCACGCGAAGTCCCTTTTTTTTTTTCGCAAAGATTGTGTAATATCAAATATTAAAAACACTAAAACTGCTCTCTAAAACTTCATATTTTCTCTCTTCCTCATATCTCCTCATGTCTCCTCTTTAACTTGACGCAGAATGCTCGCGAAGGAAAAAAAAAATACCGTAGCCTTACCATACTGTTTGTTTTACAGATCCTGAACTCCTGAAAGGCTTCGCCGTTTCTAATCCCAATGGATGGGTAAAGTGAAGCGAGAAATGTATACGTATATTTATAGTCTTTCCAGTTGCGAAATACGTTTATGGCTCATAAATTTCTATAGACTGGTTTTCTAAAGCATAACCTGTAAGTGGACTCTCTAACAAAGTGCAATAAAGTTGAAAATTTAACGTCCTGAGTTGAAGCCTACAGCAAAACTTTGGTGGACTCGGTCCCCCGCGCATGGGCGGAGAGGTTATCAGCTACTTTTATGCTTTTTTGGACGACTGTTGCCTTAAACTGTTGCCTATATCCTTCCCCAGACCCTCACGTTGAATATTGCTCGTAGGTCTTTGGGGCTAGGAATTACGAATTTTGGCCTGCGTTTCGTTTTCTCGTGCTGAGTAACAGGACCGACTAAGGCTTTCCTGTGGTGCTGTTTATTATGCATTATACGTATACAAAAAGGAAAAGAAAGTAGAAATAGAAAAACATTTTTAAAAAATGGGATGTTATTTAGCGAGACATGCATTACACAAGGATTTCTTGTGGTGTATTTGTGCTCTGTGGTCTGAGGCTATGTTCTTGTCAGATGAAGACTTCAATATAAGACAAATAAAGCTAAATAAAAACTAAACATGCAACGCTTACGATTCTTGATTTAAATTGATAAATAAATCGTATCCGGAGCTCTTCCAGACAATACCATTGTTTATATTTCGAGTTCGTCAATGAATAATTGATATTGAACAACTAAGTTCCAGATGGTTTGGCGGTAACGTTACAATAGAATGGCCAAATAATTGACTGTGAAGTTCAACAGACAGAGCAAAGACTGTGTTAGCAACACCAAGATGATTGTGTCCTGACGGCAACAAACTTTGACATTCAAATTCCTTGAACTGTATGGCTTGAAGGAGGAACTCCACCAAAAGAAAATTCAAGCGGCGTTAATATGATTGCATCTTACATCTTGGTGAGTTCCGTACTTTAAAATTCATTGTTATCTTCCGAAAGTTAAAGAAAACAACTTGAGCTTATACTTAAGTTATGAATAGAAATGAAGTTTGAGCGTTGATATTTCATGCCAGTTATCCGTACTTATCTGGCCCGTCTTCCTTGATTTTTAGGGATTATTAGTAGGAAGGTTTTACTCCAAAAAAATTCTTTTCTTTTTTTCTTTCTTTCTTTTTCGATATTTTGTATATCGTTTCTTAACGAAGGTTTAATGACGTTTCTAGAAAAAAAAAGAAAATCTGTATTAATCGATCACGGTTGGGCGTGTTTATGGTATTTTACATTTAAGCCAGTCCGTGATATTTTCGAAACAGTTTTAATGATACAGGAAAATCCTAAGTAAGAACACAAATTTGTTCACCGCTACAAGATACAATGAATTTTAGAAACATACCGGTAATTCCATATTACTAATAAATATTATGAACAATTCCTGTACCAGGCTGTTTTTAGAACCGTTGAAAAGTTTTCTATTTTCTCAGCCGCAAAAGGTAATTTATCTTCATATACTGATAATTTGTTTATCTATTAATTCAATCATGTTTCAAGTTATTTTATTCAGTATGTTGAGTTACAATGAAAATGAAACCATCCAACACATGGGAAATTATAGGCTGCATAATAAATACAAACTACAAGCACTGTTTGAAGTATATCGAATACCCCATTGTATCATCGAATTTACCAATGCATCAAAGTCCGACTTCATTGTGAATGATAGGTGCTCAGCAATTTTTGCTTTTTTCGGAGGTAAACTATAGTTTGTCTCGGGATCTGTCGCAAATCCAAATTCTGATCCCATCCGCTTTGTTTAGCACTGAGTCTGGTCTCTAAATACAGTCTGTAGAATATAAAACCCTAAAATAACACCATATAGGCCTCTCAGCCTCGTAAAAAGTGGTTTATTTTGCTATTAAGTCAACTTTCACCTTACCAACACCGCAAGTATTTAGTGGACCTCCCAGCTTTTCTTTTGCTTATCATCAATTAAAATTCATTTCTTTCCGCTTTTTACAGCCAGCTTCACAGTCTTTCCGTCTTGAATGATTCTTCTGAATATTTCCTGCTTTTGGATTGGCAATGCCTAAAAAGAAGCTATCCTGTATTATTTCGCATTTGTAAGATCTCAAGAATAATGCGCGCGCGCGAAGAGATCAGCGATAAAACGTAAGACTTGATTTCTAGTTTTCTCTCCCTCAAGAGGTCGTCCCAACTGGGACGAAACATTCACCGGCGAAAACGCTGCCGACAACGTTTACAACAATAACCAGAGAGATTTGCTCGAATTCCTACCGAATCATTTCCAGAAGGATTTGAATTCCCCACTTTTGATCGGCTAGAACAATTTAGTTCCAGGCGTTCGCTGCAGAGTGTTTGTCACAGTCCTACTGACCTAACACTGCATCGAGAGGCAACAATTTTAACTATTAGGCTAGATTTCTTTTGTTTTCAGGTGGCATATGTAATGCTGTCAAACGTCCCAACCTGTTACACATTCTACAACGTGTCGTGTATTCCAGAAGGTACAACGTTTAGCTGTTTTTTTTTTGCCATATGTTAACATGCACATCACACGTTCTTGGCGTAGTTAATATTGCCATTAAATCTTGGTGGGGAAAGTTTGGTTTATCCGTATAGGGCAGGCATAAAGAAAATTGTACATGCGTGAATCTTCAGAGTTTTGGAAAAACTGGGAAATAGTTTCAATTTGGAAAAGAAAAACAATTCTATTTGCCATATGTTGGCATGCTTCTCACACATTCTTGATATAGTTAATACTGCAATTAAATTTCAGTGGGGAAAGTTTGGTTTATCCGAATAGAGCAGGCATAAAGAATTTTCTTTTTTCAAGAGGGAAACAAAAAAAAAGGAGGAAATAAATAAGAATTATGATCGCCTTTTTAGAACGTATGCTATTTGCTGCAGAAGTCACAAGCGTTAGATCCAGGGTTAAGAGTACGAAAAGGGGCTACTGATGCAAGATTCGCTCCATGTAAGGGAATCCAAGACAGTCTTGAATTCTGGATTCCACGTCGTGGATTCCGGATTCCAGGTACTGAATTCCAAATTGCTTATAAATGGAAAACAATGGCTAACGGGATTCCGTATTCCTTGCGCTGAATTACGGATACCAAGCCACGGATTCCGGATTCCGCATTCCGCAAGCAAAAATTTTTAAGAGCTCGGAATCCGGATTTCCTTATATACGCGATAAGATAATGGGGAAAAGAATGACATACAGGATTGCTTACCTCCGGCTCCTCCACAACAACTGGGCGACTGGTTGATTGACTTTGATTACCTTCTATGGTAGAGCGGTTGTCAGAAAAACGCGGGGTCGGGGCGGGGGTCGGGGTCTATCTTTTTTTTTTTTTTTTAAAGAATGCTGCTTTAGGATTAAAATCAAACCCGAACCCGAACCCGAACCCGAACCCGGGGCCGCCGGCCCCGGCCCCGATCCTGATCCTGATCCCGATCTCGACCCCGCGTTTTATTGATAACCTAATAAATCACTTTAGTGCGTATGTTGTGCTTTCCCAATGTATGTGGGTCATTTGATGTTCTCCAGAGAATTGATGCTTTGTCTTGTCATAAATTACTAGTACATATGACCGAGGATAAGTTAAGTTCAATTTAGAAGGAAACAGCTCTTATAGAGTAACTTCACGTGACCAACATCAAGGAAACAAAACTAAAAAGCTATAAGGAGGTCTATTGTTTCTGTGTCAACGATATTTTTTATGTCCTGGTTTCTCGCGAATTTCTTGATACTCGATTCAACAAAGCACCAGTGCGCAAGAGTGCATTGGAAAGGAAATAGTTGTGCTTCCTTGCGCCTTTTTGCCTTTACCTACGGTAAGCAAGAACTGAGGCATATGCCTTCAAATTTCTCTTGCGCTCTTCCCTTATCAGGTTGCGTTTCGTGTGTCCTTCGCCCCTGCAAGACACACCCATTTTTTGTACAGGTGAAAAATATAAGGTTATGACAATTTCCGCGCGGTTTCGTTTTCGTAAAGTTTGGCAAAAGTTGAAGTGTATTGTATATATGAATAGCTTTTGAAACCAACTTATTCGTGAAAGCCCACAGAAAACGGAGAATACCACATTTAATTAAGACCTTGCAAGCCAAACGTTTATTTTTCTTCATATTTTAGGCGTCAAAATTGCCCTGTTTTTCTTCCATACAAATACTTTAGAAACTCTGCTAATCAAGCCAAAATTGAAAGGTGACAGTGATCTTTTTTGCACCAGAGAACAGCTGACATTATTGCTTCGTTGTCTGTTTCTAATATTTTTATTTTTTTCTTGCAAAAAGATTACAAAGGGTCCCTGACAGAAATATGGAGGATCGACAATCTTACAAGTTTGAAGACTTTGAAAACCTTTATAGAAAAAGGGACCCAACCAAGTGTAACGAAGATGAAGACGAGCAAACATTTCACAACTATCAACGATGTATCTCCAGAAGGGCGTCGAGATCGAGCATTTTTTCTTTGCCCTTTCACTGAGGAATACGAGTTTCACGTCTCGTGCAACGGCTCCTGTGAATGGTCAGTCAAGGAAACAGAGAATTCAAGTGCTGCAATTGCTGCTGGTATATCTCTTCAGCCCATGGGCAACGATGAGATGAATTCGTAAGTCCATAATAGTTACAGTAAAAACGGCCGGATGAGTATGCAATTTTTGCCTCACGAATTTTCGTATTATAGGAACTAGTCGACGACTATCTCATTTTCAAGCAAGTGATTCTGTCAAGATATCTTTCAGATTTGAAATTTAATTTCCGACCAAGTAAAACAAGAGGCCGAGCTAAAAAAGGTCATAAGTTACTTAAAAAATAATGTTTGCGTCTTTTAAAGCCTGCGTCGCAGAAGTAATTGAACCTCAGTATGTAACGTCTGCGAAGCAGGGCAAAAATTTTTGTTCTGTGCCCTTAATGGACTCGACGAATTACCGGAGAAGCGTTTTGACTGACAAATCGACAATGGCAGTTTTAACAGGCCAATCATGGCGCGTACTCAAATCCTGGCACACAGGATGGGAGGGGGGGGGGGGGGGGTTT